TTTTAACTCCCCAGATCTGATTGCTATTATCCTCCCCTCTAACTGCTACACATTTCCTTGTAAATTAGTTATGAGAATTTCATGTTAGATCAAGATAACTTCTTGATAAGTTTGAGTATTCTCATTACTTATCGGCTGGACAATATACAGATATTATGAAGAGACATAACATGTTAATCACTTCTGGGAATCAGCAGGGTTTATGTATTGTTTTGCCATTTTGGAACAGCATCTTATGCCATACTGCTATTATCAAATAGCTTCAATTCCAAGACATCAGTAACAACAGCTGGGTACATGGCAATGCTATAAGCAATATCCTCTGACATGACAAGGTGCGCAAGATGCCTGTAGAACTGAACTGAACTTTAACTGAACTTTAAAATATGTCTGTAGAGTTTTTTTTGTTGTTATTTTTTTTGTTTTTGTTTTTTTTTTTTACAACAAACTCCACAAACATTAGATGATAGCAGTGTATTAAATTAAAGAATAAATGCCTCACTGGATTACAAACTTTCCCTACTTGTTAATAATCTCACAAAACTGGTAAATGCTGAGTGAAAACCATACAAACATTTTTCATATGGCTGACATTCATACTGGATTAAAAAAACCAAAAACAAAACAAGACTCACCCATCCTCCTTGTTCAAAAATCCACTTGGCCAAGCGGTCCTTGATAAATTCACACACCCACCCAATATGATGAGTGGTATTTGGTTGATGACTTGTAATGCTACGTAGCCAAAGTAGAAAAGAGTCACTATTCGTCCCCAATTTACTCTACCATCGTTAAATATCTGAGCCCCAACTTGAAGAAATGTATCAAAAGCAGTGTCTTTGGAGACAACTACTTGTGATATCAAATTGTTCAAAGTGGTATCATTCGCTAAACGATCTCCAATGTCACGAATGACACGAGCCACTTCCTTATTGACTCTTCTTTGATTTTCACTCAGTTCTTGTGGAACAGGGAGGCCATCTGCACAAAAACATTCGCCTAAAAAGGTGGTGACAATGGCAGGTGCTTGCCCTGATACTTCGTCTACACTATTGGCTCTTTGATAAGATGGCCTTTGCTCACCATTACCATCCTGTTCATCATCTGATTGTCTTCTGGAGCCCCCACCAGGAGCCATGATCTTTCAATCTAAAAAAAGAGAGTGACTTAGCATTATTACATTCTACAAGTTATTATGGACAAGATTCAGCAAGTTATGACAAACCCCTAAAGTCTCCAAAAATGAAAAAAAAATGCCTTTTCCAACTAGCAAGAAGAGAGAAAATTTAAAAAGTAAATTATGTACAAGTAGCCACTTCAGAATGTGCGGAAATCTGCTGATATATCGAAAAAATTTCCATTTCTCGTCTTCTTTGGGGCGACCGATGGAAACTTTATGGAGAAATACAGCGTCTCGCCATTGTGATAACGTACATGTTTATGACAAATGATCGGTGTGAGGATAGTTTCGTGTAGATCAGCCGACCTCAACATGTTTCAAATGAAATACAATTATAACAGAGAACTTCGGATCGCTCTAATTCCCATGAAAGAAGGTGCAGCACTCGGAATCTGGATGATATGCACACGATTTGAGGTATATGTTTGTAGTTACGTCGAGTAGTCCTCCATGAAGGTTGATCAATTTTTTTTAAAAGATGACAACCAGAGGCGAGATTTCTCTTCGGGATATTGCTCATAAGATAACATTCTTTCAAAGCCTTGCATGTTTTATTTTTCTGAAACATTTGTTGCTGAGAACATAAGATGTAAACATCGCGAAATTATGCAATATCTGATTTTTGAGCTTCGTTCGCGACTTGCCCCTATGGAAAGTAGAAGCAGGCCCGCAGAGATTTTTACATATTTAAAACTAGAATATTACAACCAGCTAGGGGGGTAGTTTCAGTTCCAGAATCGGTGTACTTTTGGAGAAATTCAGATAAACGTTCTCTCTGTTTTACCCGACAACAAAAATGACCGAAACTGTACCGAAATGAATAATCTATTGGTGTGTTCACATTCACTCCCAAGGAAAATTGAATGTATCAATGTGACGACGAATGATGTTGCTATGTATGGTAGAAGTGCCAATTTGTAATGTTGTATTTAGCTTGAGATAGAGA